AGAGCGAGGGGTCTGAAGGTTCTTCGCCTCTCTCGGATCTGACGTTTGCCGACGTGAGCGAGCCTCAGTGGGAAGGTGATTCAGATAGTTTTAATCTCTATAAGTACCCTTCTTATGAGATCGACTGGGATTCTCTGTGACGAAGTGTTCGGAAATCAGAAGACTATGTTATGTATTGAAGGGTATGTATGATGCGTGGTCTAGTCTAGTATATTTGTAGGTGTTAGTGTCTCTTTCAGGTGGCCACTGCAATGGAGTTTTTGGCAATTGCAGGGCTAGTTTTAGTTGAATTACTATTCTGTCAATATCTTGTATAATCTCTTTCCACCTTGGGTCAGCTGAATTTTTTCTTGCTTGACCTGGGAGAATTAGTCCAGTTATGTTTCAAGACTTACTTAATGGAATTATTATATGAATATGTAGCTGAGATGAATCTACTTGCCTTTCAGCTTATCAAATATCTCCACATTATCTATAAAATATGATCGCTATTCATCGACATCCATCCGTTTGAGAGATATACATCCATGCTAATGTCCCCGCCGTCATAAATAGTCTGTAAGGAGGATCACCCCACTGCATTTTTAAGCTCTAGTTTCAAATTTAACATGGCACCAACAATACATAATTAAGGAAAATATTTTTTTAACTTTTTTTTTGATAATTTTTTACGGTGGTAGCATGTGATGGGAAATACCCTTTACTTTATTCTAGAAATATTATCATCATTTTATAAGTACTTTTTCTAGATTTTATAAGGATTTGTTGATCTTTTCTTAAATGATGAAGAACAAAACAAGTTTCATTTATCAAATTCTTTTTTAAAGGGGTAAAAGACTAATATTCCTAAGGTCAGAGTTATAAAGATATTCTTAAATTATTAGTAATTGTATAAGCTTAGTTTCTTTCTCACAGTAATAGATATGAAAATTTAAGTTTGAGCCAACGAATTTTAACAAGTAGATCTTGACATTTCAAATGTGACTTGATATATATTTTATGGAAGGATGTTATTTATAGAAAACTATGAAATTTATACCTATTGAAAATCTCAAAGATATGAAATTCAAACTGAAATTGATATTTGTTAGAAATTATGAAATTTTGATTTTGATATTGCTGACGTTATTGAAAAAGTATATTTTAGTGAATTGTTTGAAGTTTAGATAATTGTTAAAAAAATTGATTGGTTTGGGTTTAAATTTGGTTTTGATTTAAATTTGACAGTCCTCGGGAGATATATTTATTTAAGAGTTTAATGAGAGTGAATGCTATTTTGACTTAATTTAGTAGTCGAAATTTGCATAATTGTAATATTGAATTTAGACAAAAGTTTCAAACATTTTTGAACAAATGATATATTTTTCTTAAACAAAATTATTGTAAAAAATCAATATTTGCTCTCAGTATCATTTTCGTTAAAATATTTTTCTCAAGTAAAGAAGAGTATAAAGTCAACCTTTCTCTCTGATAAATTTTTCCTCAGACGAAACAATTTTCGCTCAAATTATTAAATTTTTCCCAGAGCTATTTTTTTTATTTGTTGTGTGTGTGTGTTTTTTTGTGATGATTTTTCAAGAAAAAATGTGTTAAGATATTTAGATAGGGTATTGAATTTGAGATTTTGTATTAGATATTATGAATTTATATATTAGACTCAAAGAGTAGAAAGTAAGGAGATTCTTATAATAGTTTGCGTTAAAAAATATAATAGTGTTTTGTAGATCATATAAATTTATCTTGTCACAAATGAATTATATTTTTATTATTTAACTTTATTATGGTGGCAAAGGATAATAGCTGCATATCTATGAGTCTAATTTAACACCTTTTTTATGTATATGATATTGATTTTATATGATTTATGACATGATTGATAATCAACCACTCAGGCTTTCTTCTTTTCGATGTATTTGCGGAGATGATCTTGGCAGATGATTTGAATGAATTTGAGGATAATTTTTTAATTATTTTTTGAGTGGATTTATGGATAATTGAGAGTGGATTTGGAAGTAAAGTTTTTGAGAATTAGTGTAGGATTTGATTGATGTGATAGATTTTAAAAATTAATTTAATTGATAAAAATTAAAGATTACCAAAATGCCCCTAGTCATGCAGCTGTAACCGGTTACAACACTCTTGTAACCGATTACGGCTTCTCCAAATCAATTGTGGGTGTATTCAATTGTAATAAAATTATTAGAACAGGGACAATTCAGACTATTTCATCATCATCCCTCCAAATCTCTTCAGATGTGCGGGTGAATGAACAGTGGATGAATCCCGCAAATCACTTCATTTCCATCCGAGTTAATTAACTGAAGCGAACACAAATTTTTTTTGATTCATCGCTTGCAAATTGGCGCAAACAGTGTCATCCGCGGAAGCGAACACAGCCTTAGTATTCGTAAAAAATTTATGAGATGTGTATCCTTAGGAATGTATGGGTAAATATTTGAATTGGCTTATTTAATTTATAAATTACGAAGTATATGATTATATATATTATATATATATATATATAATTTTTTTTAAACACTAATTTATCATGTATGTTTTATGTAGATTCTTTCATTAATACTGTGTTCACTTTTGAGGATTGTACTGTTTAGAAAAAAAATGAAAGACTAATCTGAAAAATGAGTGATGTTCACTTTGGCGAATTTGAAAAGACGAAATAGTGTGGATTTGCGAGATACCATATTTTTGTATCACTCATTCGTATGAGATGATTTGAGGTGAATTAAAGACAATTTTCATGTTTGCCTTTTGTATCATTCTCAAGTTAGGAGAAAAGATCTCCCATCTATACTTTTTCAATTTCCTTTCATTACACAATCAATTAGAATATATATATATATATATATATATATATATATATATATAATATATTATAAATCAAATAAGATAAATTTATAGGTTAAATATATTTTTAAATTTTAAAATTTAATACAAAACTAAAATCTGTTTTGTCTAATTGGTGTGTGGAAGCTACTTGACATTACAATGGAGTTGTATTGGAAAAATTTGACTCAATCTTATTTCGAAAACAAATCAAATTATAACTTGGTAGTAAATTATTTTACAAAAAATATTAAATTTAAAAAAAAATTCATTTTACTAAATTATAATTTCTTACATTTTTAAAATTATTTTTAATAATTATCGTTAATTTTTTACTCTTTATAAACATTTTTACAATTAAATATAACATTAACAATTATCATTTTATATTACTTTAATAACTAGAGACATTTTGATAATCTTTAATTTCTACAAATTAAACAATTTTTTTTTATTTGTCATATCAATCAAATCCTACATTAATTCTCACAAACTTTACTTCCAAATTCACTCTTACTTATCTTTAAATCCACTTAAATAAATAACAAAAAATTTATCCTCAAATCTTTTTAAATCTATCTACTCAGTCTCCCTCAAATCTTCTCTTCCAAGTGAACAAAGCCTAAGTGTGATGGTCATAATGAGTACGAAAATAAATGATGTTACAAGAAAAAATATCAGCAAAATGGACTCAGGCGATAAAAAAAGTATAAATGTTTGTGTTTTAAAATATATATTTAGAATAGATATTAATAATTTGAAATATATTTAAATTCAGGAAAAAAAGTTGTATGTGTTATTTTAAATAAGAAACGTGAGGTGTTAAACGTGTATAATGTTAGAGTTGTTCGTATAATTAATCCTCTTCCCGAGTGGTTTAGTAAGGCATATTCACCTTTGGCATTTTCTTTCTTACTTTAGAGAATTTATTCCTATGGTAGTTGTAACATCGTGAATCATGGAAATTAATATTAATAGTTAGTTAAATTTATGTTCATTGTGATCCTTTGTTACATGTTAAAGGATTACATATATTTATCACAAAAGCGGAATATATGATTCTATCTTTGTCTTCTTTTCTGGTACAGCTTATCTTTCCTTTTTCACAGATAAATGGTGTGTGGTGCAGAAGCATTGCACAATTAAAACCAGAGATAAGAAGATAGTTAAAAGAGAGTTATGCGAGGATAAAATCTCTTCAAAACAAATAAAACCATACTTTTTGAAATTTTCTTATCATTATTTCTTATATGATCTTTGATCCACATCACATAATAATTATTGAGGTGATTCAGATAACAGACCAATATATATATCACGCAGAATCTCAATATTACATGAAACCTTATAAATGTCACTAGAAAAAAATATTAATTTTTAACTCGTAAAAAATAGTTTTAAAATAAAATCCTGACAGAATTATTAAATATCTAAACCATTTATATTTCAAATATAAATATAAATAATATATATATATATATATATATATATATATATATATAATATGAATAATATGTACAATATACATTTGCTATAAGATATATATAAGGTTTATAATACACAATTAGGTTTAAAGAAAATAAAAAACATTTATATACTTTCCATAACTTTATACTTAATATGTGCAAGTACGGTAGATAAAATAATTTGGAACAAAACAGATCAATTTGATCAATTTCCTTGATCTACAAAAATTTGACTCAAATAGACTTATCCACTACAAGAAAATAGATTGAAAATTCTAATTCGTCTTGTCATAAGATTAGCTAGAGAATTGAAGTTTGACACGCCAATTTTTTAATTTTTTTAATTATTTTAATATATCTTTATTTTTAATTATATATAGATATATATATTAAAAGTATATTATGTATATTTTAAAAGTTTAATTGATTAATTAATATTTCTATAACACCTAGACTAAGATGATAATAAAATAATATTATCTCAGTTGTATCGAAAATATAAATAACTTAAAACTCTGTAACACTTTAATATAAACATAAAATATATTTATTCACTAATGTACAAAAAATAATTTAGGGTTTATGAATATAATGGAGGTGCAGAAAGAAGGACATAATAAAAATTAGGGTGGGTTTATATTGGGCTTTGGTAGGCTGACTCAAGTATTGGGCTTTTATGTTATTTTTGAATAATTGACTAAAGTAGAAGAAAGCTAAAATGATGTAATGGTAAATGGAAGGATGGAGGTTGGTTGAAGTGAAAGGAAGTTGAGCCGTTGAAACTGGAAATGATAACCTAATTTATCTCTGAATCGCACGTTATGGCCTATGGTGCATGAGGGCATAGACTAAGTTCAGTTTGACGTCCCCGTGCAAAGCACCCACCCACCCACCTCCCCAACTCTCTAACAACGTTCCCACTTTCTGCAATTCGGTTTCTTTGTCACCTCCCACCGCTCCTCATATTCTGATGGAGGAGCGGTTGCGGCCTGCGCCGTCGTTGCCACCAGAATCTCCTCCCGACATAAATTATGAGAGTAGCAAACTCCAATCACCAGGCATCGATTTGAATACCTACGTTGTCCGAGTCCCGAAGGATCAAGTCTACCGTTTTCCACCCCCCGAGAATGCTCGCCTGGCGGAGCTGCATCAACCCTGTCCTCCAAAACAGGCGAAAACGTCACGATGCTGCTTGTGTTGCATAGTAGTCTCCGTTGTCTTCTTGGTCCTTCTGATTGTTCTGGGAGGCGTTTTAGGTGGACTTTTTTCCATGTTACTCTCACCAAAAGACCCTAAGTTTTCGGTGGAAAGCTTTACGGTGGCAGAGACCAAAGACAAATACAGCATGAGTTTAAGAGTCCACAATTCAAATGCAGACCTGGGCATTTCTTTTAAAAATAATAGCAGTGTGAGCCTCTCTTTAGATGGGAAACAGATTGCCAAAGGAGACTACACAGGTATGCATCTAGACCCTCTTGATACGACATCGTTTGGCGTTGCTTTGAAAGGATCAAAAACTCCTAAGAAGGTGGAGGAAAGCGTTAATAATACCAAAAAGAAGGTGGCTGTTACATTCTCCTTAGCCGTTCGCTCTCGAGCACGAATGAAAATGGGGTTGTTGAGCAGTGGGACAATGACATTCGACGTTTCCTGCATGTTCAAGTTAGATACGTTGGCAAATTCCACTCGCATTCTCTCTCAACAATGCCAAACTAAACGAAACTAGGTAGCTCCCGCACCTGAGTAGATCATCCAGGTCTTTTCCTTCTCAAACTTTTTTCTTTTCGTTTATCAATACATGGCCCTGTCGCCCCAGGACTATGTGCATAACTTCTAAATACTTATTATTCTTCATGCATATATTCATAGCATATTCTTCTATATCAGTAAATCTCATTTTAAAACTTTTAAATGTTTATTTGTGTAAGTTAGGATATGCCAGATGGGCCTAAACCTTGTATTGGGGGATCTCTTTAGACTAACGATAATGGGCCTTAATGTATGTATAAGAGACTCCAACATGGCATTTAGGTAATTTCAAACGTTGTTGTATTGGGCCACTACCCAATTGTTCAAGTAATTATATATGTTTAAGTAAATAGAACCTTATACAATTATGCTCGCATAGACCGTTTTTTTTATCTTCTTTCAGTGTTAATTTTATTTAGATAATAAAACATAATTTAAGTTAGTAAAAGCAAATATTGTGTTAAAGAGATCAATATATGATAATGTTGAGATTAAACTTCACCAAATCTAACTATCTTCTATCTCTATCAGTTATAAATCAATTCTAATATATTATGGTAGCGTATTGATAATTATCATTAATAATTCGCTTTTTCAATAGTTAAATTTTAATTTTTATTATTAAATATACATGCCTTCAAAATTTAGTAAAAGAACTTACTTTAATACTATAAAAACCTTAATAAGTTAATCCTATTTCTAGTTATCTAACTTACTAAGTGATCCAATCCGTACGAGGATATGTAACCAGTTGAATTTATTGAAGATTTCTCTTTTCCATGCATATGTCACGATTGCAATGGTGTTTTCTCAATTTTCACCTTAAAGTACATTTCTTTTTTGTTTAAATATATATATATATATATATATATATATATATGCTATAATTTCCAAAATAGAAAAAGTAATTTGAACAAATACCAAACATTAAATTTACTAATAGTATCTTGAAACCTAAGTTTTTCTAAATTCTTTACTATTATAGATTTTACTTTTTTTTTTCAAATTTGTTACCTGTTCGTTTTATTCGTTAAGTGAAATAAATTCTTCAAACAAATTTACTCTAGTATTTCGTCGAAGTTTCTTTCCTTTAAATTTATTAAGCTAAATTAATTTCCTTAGCAAATTTTCGACAGGAAATATATTTAGTTTAATTCTTTATCTTCTTTGGTCAAAATAGATTCCTTTAACAAAATTTTCTACATAGGCTTGTTTCCTACAACTTAATTATTCATTTTTCATGAAATTTTCTTTTTTATATTTTCAATGATTTTCTTATAAATATAATAATTAAATTAATGTATCAAACTACTTTGTTTAAAAAAATAGTTAATTTTACTTATTTATTTACAAAACCTAAAATGACATGAAACATATGGAACTTCAAAATAAGAAATTTAATTAAATTATTATAAAAATATATAATTTAACAAGTTAAATTGGCCATCATACTACATCAATATATTTAACAAAATATATAGATCCCTTAGTTTTTTTTTTAATATGGTGAATGATTACGACTTTTATGTTTTATCTTGAAATACTCTAATATTAATTTCTTTTATTGTTGACTTAATTATTACTTTCATTTTTATTTTCGTTGAGTATATTCAATATTTTTTTTCCATATTTAATAAGGTTTTAATTTTTGTTAATTTTGATTAATTTGATTTTTTTTAAGAACGTATAATAATGAATATATGTGAACACTGTATGACCTATGTTAATTCATAATATTTATTTTTTTAATTTAAAACAATGTTTAAATGTTAAATCAACTATAATTATATTATTGAAATATAATTATTAGATTTATTTTTTTGTTTTTTCTACATGTAAAATTATTTAAAATTAATAAAAAATTCTTCTAATTTTAAAAGTAAGGTTAGACTTCGTGAAAAAATATTGGATTAGAATTAGTTTAAAATTAGAAGACAAATTATTCATGTCACAAAAACCAATCAAAATAAGAAATATACATATTAAATTCAAAACAAAGCTATAACAACATGTGGTATGAAAATTGATATGTGTCATTGATATATAAATATACAAATATGACTTGACATAGGAACAAGATTTTTAAATAAAAAAATTAAAAATTAAAAATTAAAAATTAAATTTTGAAATGATTTGTGTTATTCATACCGATTTATTAAATATGAAAATTAATTAAATTGATTAAAATCAATGAAAATTAAAACTTTATTAAATATGAAAAAAATCACATTTAATAAACTCGACCAAAATAAAGATTAAAATAATATCTAAATTATATTATTATATTGTTGAAATCTAATATTGTTTTTTTATGGGAGTTATATTGCCTTTATACGGAAAAGTTGATTAATCCGATAAAAAAACATACGAAAATTTACACACGTTAATTTTATGAATATGTAATCCCAAGAATCTTAATTTAATTAAAATTATTTTCTTATAAAATTATTCCATTACGGAAAAGACGAAGAGAAGAATATTATAATATTTAGTTATTTCAACATGTTATTTAAAAATTAAACATTTGCCTTTAAATATCCTTTTTCTTTTTGTGTTTTTTATTCTTAAATGTTATGTTTTTTGTGTGTAAATTCTTGATGTTGATGACCATTATAATAAAAAGAATTATTTTGATGACGTGACATTGTAATTAAGTAATCTTAATGGACGTGACATTATTTACTTTGAGTGCCATTAGTCCCATCATATATTTGCATCATGAATTGAAAGCCAGAACACAAACCATCGATTTGGAATTTGCACAGACAAAAGAGTATTCCTTCAAACAAATTTAAATATAATTTCATATATGAAAACCACACACGTCACTTTGAACACCGACTCTATTTGCCAGAATGGAGGAATCTGAACACAAACATAAAACTTAAATTGAAGAAATATTGAAAAAATAACTTATTTTAAAAGTTCAACTTCCTTTCTTTTATTTTTAATTAAATATAAATATTTTATCATGAATACTATTGCACTATTTTATAGACTAAACAACGGTTAAATAATCATAGTTTAAAATAAGAATAAGTTATATTCTTTTATTGTTAGTTATATATATTGAATTTTATTTATCTTTAATATAGAGTGTATAATAAAAAAATCTTTATTTATTTTAAGTAATCTGTTATAAAATGTAGATAATTATAAGCACTAACACGTTAATAGTTTGGATTTTTTTTAAAAAAATTATGATTAGTTTAAATCACATATTTAAAAGTGTGGATATTTTGAATCATATACTTAAAATTACGAATAATTTAACTTTAAATATTTAAAATCACAATAATAACTAAATTATCATACGGTGCATCAATTATCTTACGATAAAAGTTAGATAGATCAAATTATAACACTTGAAATTTTACGTTTTTAAATAAATTTAAAGAATAACACTATGACTATTAGTTATATATTTTAAGCGTTCAATAATAATTAATATAAATTGTATTACCTCAAAAAATACACAATGTCTAAACGGGATTGCCTTTAACTAACCATCTAGGTCGAAAAACTATGTCAAACCGTTGCTAAATCTTAAGATCATAACTTTTTACTTTAGACAACATTTTTAAGTTGTTATCTAAAATTTTAAAAAAATGGTGCAGTGATTTTCTTTTCTCTTCTCTAATCTATTGGTCCTAAGCCCCCGTGAATCCTGCCAAGTATTTCTCTTAATCTATAAATAGAAGATCTATAAATATGAAATGAAGCAGAAAAATAAATTTTCAAAGTAAAAGTAAAATAAAGTACAACTGTATATATAGATCGTCTAACTCCAACAACACATATAAAGTGCTAAAGTGAATGTCTCCAGTTTCTTCAGTCCACAAGCAAGAAAAGGAGAAACCAAAAGGGGTGTGAGATACATCCAAAAACTCTCTTATTAAGCATTCAGTTGCATATACATACTTGTTATATGGATGAACCACTGGGAAAGGAAATTAAGGTAAAATAAGGTTTCTTAATTATTTTGTTCTTTATGTATGTCTTTACTTATGGCTAATAATTTTTCTCTTTCTAATCAACCCTCACTTAAAGGGTCACACCAGAACTAATCCTTTTATGCAAACTAAAATAGCCATTATTTTGCTCTCTGCAACAACACCAACAACAAATTATCAATTTCCAATTGTTGCTAACCAACAACTTACCATTAATCGACATTGTACCACGTTTCTCATATCAAGTTCTAAATTCTTGTATCAATAATCCAAATATATAAAATGGTAATCTAGAAATTAACCTTTCTTTATATATATGTTTATTCCTTTTATATTCCAAGTGTGCTGCTAGCCTGACAATAATTATAAGTCATGACAAGTGCATTGATTTTTATAATAATTATCTTGAAAAGTATATTAATATTAATGTCACTGGTACAAAATCAGTGTACAACGTTGAATATTTTGGGAGGAATTCGAGAACGACGTCATATTGGAAGAAATTCGACAAATTTAACGTCGAATATTTTATCAATAAACGACGTTAATCAATTTTTTTATTTTTTAAAATTAATTGTGATATTTTTTTACAACTCTACGAGATCTGAAAAGCAGAAAAACAACAAATTTCAGTTTTTGGTATTTTGTAAAGCATGAACTATGAATGAGTAATATAGTATCAACAACAAACAACAATGACAAACAACAAACAAGTCCAATCAAACAACAAACAAGTCCAATCAAACAATAAACAAATTCAATCAAACAACAACAACAAACAAGTTCACCCAAACAATAACAACAAACAAGTTCAACAAAAAATAACAAGAAACAAGTTCAACAAATAAGTTCTTCAAAACGAAAACGAAAACTAACCTTGGTTCATTGGAATAAAGTGTTGTCACACGTAAGAGAGAAAGCAGAATGCGCCTATGAAGAACAATAACACAAAAATAATCGGTCAAAACAAACAAAAATCATACCTAAAGTAGTAAATTAACATGCATTTGTATCAAATAAAAGAAATATTTAATGTGATGGTCGTCAAACTTCGTTCGAGAAAAGTTTGAGCAGAGAAGAGGGTCTCGCGCGCTAAGATAAAGTGAATGAATTTTCAATCTTCCGCTCAAATTTTTATTGAATTC